ATCAGTGCCTCCCCGCCGCCCTCCTTCCAGATCAGCCCCCCCCTCCACCAGCAGCTCTCCTTGCACCACCCGCAGAGCTCCCTCCTCAGCCAGCCCCTCAGCATGCAGCAGGTCCCCCAGCAGCCCCTCCTGTCCCCTCCCATGGCACTACAGGTACAGCCCCCCATGAACGCCTCGCCTCCCGGGCAGCAGGTAGGTGTCCCGAGGGAGAGGAGGGTTTGCGGCGTTTCCCTTCTTCCCGAGGAGTCTGTTGGTTTCTGGATGGTTTGGGGATGTTGGGTGGCGATGTTGTCCCCGAGGGAGACTTCTCCTGGATCTTCTCACTGATAGGACAAGAGGAAGTGGTCTCAAGTTACACTAGGTTGAGGTTAGACCTTAGGATAAACTTCTACACCCAAAAGGTAGTCAAAGACTGGAACAGGCTGACCAGGGAAGTGGTTGAATTGTCGTCCTTGGATGTGTTTAAAAGCTGTCTAGATATGACGTGGTTTAGAAGTGGGCTTGGGAGAGTTAATGATTGCACTTGGTGATCTCTAAGGTCTTTTCCAACCAAAATAAGTTTATGATTCTATGATTCCATCAGCTTGCAGATCTCGCAGTTTGGGGGTGACGTTTTCAAGAGTGTTGAGATGGGAGCACAAGCACCCCCAGAAACGGGGCAGATCTGTGCAACTGCAGCAATGAAGGCTCTTTCAGTGGGGCAAGCCTCAGGAATTGGGGTTGCCCCTCACAAAAGCTCCCCATAATTGTGATATTGCTGAGAGAGGGAGGGCTGGGAGGCTGTGGGACAATAGCAGGGATCCAGGCGGAGGAGAAAAAGGCTAGAGGGACTGTTGCAGACAAAATACAAAATCAGGTTTTTTCCCAAAACTGCCTGACAATAGGTGAAAATCACTTCCGTGTCAGAAAGTCGGGAGCCTGCAATGTGTCCTTGACTGTATGCTTATGCTAACAGCGGAGCAGCAAAGCAAATCCTATGGACTGGTGCTATGAATGCGTAAAACCTGCTGAAGCAAACCAGCCTTAGCCCAGCCCAACTCAGCCTGGCAGCCTGCGCTCGGGGAACTAGCCAACGCGGTCCACGTCTCTCCTCCTTAAACCTGCTATTAAGAAAAATGTACCTGGAGATAAAACTGGCCATAGCAAAAAGCATTTCCTATACCCTATGGAGAACTTGCCAGTATATGAAGGAGGAGAGGAGTGTTTTCTAGAGTTTCTCCATCTAGAATATGAGCCGGGCGAATATGAACTGGAGGACATATGGTCTGAATTCACAGCTGCTGCCATTTATTTGATGATACTTTTAACTGCCACACTCACCCAGCTGGCTGAGTAATTGCTGTTTCTCATGCTTACTAGCTATATATCACAGAAGTCATACAGTACTTAAGTTAGAAAGAAAGCTTTCTTTGCCATAACATGACCTATTCAGTTTAGGGCTAACTCTGAGAAAAGAGAAGTTGTTAAATTTTGAAGTAGATATTCCAGTGGAAGAAAACCAAAGGAGAGGAGGGATGTGGAAGGACGGTTATACCTGACCATAATAAAAAGACAGGTGGGAAGGTCGGATCCTCAACCAGAATTTCATTTCCAACCTGCTCAGGGTATCCTGAGTACCATCTCCAGCACGGTGATTGGGCTTTGGCCCTGCCTAAGCACAAGTGGCTTCAGAAATTTGGTGATAGCTGAGAAACACCAAGGTCACGGGTTCGATCCCCGTTCTGTCCCCATGTGTTGCCTGATCTAGTTGAGAGGCATCCCTGCCCATGACAGGGAGGTTGGATTAAATGATGTCTAAGGTCCCTTCCAGCCTAGGCCATTCTATGACTCATATTCCTTGAAACAAGCAGAAAAAGGGATCCTCATAATCACTTTAATTGGGGTAGTTGGTGTTGCCGAGGGCAGCATTTTGTGAACCTTTGTTCCACATATGTTTGCTAATAAAATATTAAGCAAAACAAAACAAAACAAAAGAAAAACATCCCACTGCCCTGATTTGGATGTTATGGAGAAATTCACGTTCTCAGCCAGGTACCTACCATCACTCTAGTTTACATGCATTGCCTAATGTTACCTAAGCAAACCAACCCCAGAAAATCAGGAAAGCTTATCAGCTTTCAGATGAAACAGTCCCGCAGCATCCTGGTTAAATGGCCAGTGGTGCCAGCTGACGGCAATAGCTGCAGCTGTCCCTTGCCTTGTTACTGAACATTACGAGGGGCTGACGCAGCGCTGCAAAGGCAGTTGGAGAGGGAAAAATGGGTTTGATTGCCAGGCTGCTGGTGCAGAGGCTTTCCCAGGTGATCCTGCTCTGGCAGGGGAGTTGGACTAGATGATCTTTCGAGGTCCCTTCCAACCCTCAACATACTATGATTCTATGATTCCATGATTTTATGATTCTATGATTCCCTGATTTTATGATCCTGATTCCCTGATTTTAAGATTCCTTGAATCTATGATTCTATGACCCACTCCTCTGGCCCGAGGAGGAGGGTCCTGAACAACAGAGGCAGGAGGAAAAAGGGATGTAAAACAGATGTTGACACCTGCTCATGACAACTCACACGCTGCGAGGTCCCACCGTGGCGGTTTCAGGTCCTGGGCTTGGACCCACTGCTGTCCCTGGGGCTCGCCCTGTGCTCCTGGGGCAATGCACATTAAATGTATTTATGTGATATTATTAGATCTCCCATTAACCCTTCTTTTCCCTTCCATCCAGCAGGACTTCTCACATATTTCGTCTGAGTTTCCGAACAGCGTTGGACCCCGCTCGCCTGGCACATCAAACCCTCCGGGAAGCACTGAGTGGGACAATGACTACCCCAGCAGAGAGTGTGGGATTAACCACTGCAGGCCAGTAGACAAAACTATAGACAACATTTCTAATGTGCTCTCTGTTACCTGAACTGTGGCAGTGCACGGCGGCTGAGAATCTGACCTGAACCGTACAGCAAGCTGGCAGGCTAGTTACGGTCAATGAAGTTCAAGGTTTCCTCTTCTCTGTAGGCTCACTGAAGTGGTGCTATGCAAGCAGGTAGCTTAAAAATCACGGATAAATTCTTCACTGGTCAGGAAGAAGTTTCCTTTTTCGTGTGTTTCCATCCCATTAGCAGTGGAGACGTTGGACACGCTTCCTTCTAGAGCAAGCCGGGGAAGTTCAGGCTCCCAGGCAGACTCCCTGGAGGTCTGAAGGTGACCGTGGCCATGAGCGATGTCCTTCTGTTCTTGAAGTGATTGCTTTTATCGCTGAGGCCACAACCTCCCACGGTTGTCTCTAGCAATGGGTCCCTTATTGATCCTGGGCTTTCACCACGATGGTGCGCAAAGCCTCATCTTCCCAAGAGCCACACGATGCTTCAATCTCCTGCACCTCACAGGAGGGCACAGATACCTCCACAGATCTTCCACCTTATGCCCTACAAGCTCTGGTACAAGTGTGCCAGCACGAAGGTCCCTCGAATACCCCAACAAATAAAAACATCAGCATAGCCTCAAAGCTGGGGAGCAGGGAGGCTGTGAAAGCCATTTGCACCCTCTGCCTAATCCCCTGCTCTTGGCTCGGCAATAATAGTTTGGAGATGGCTATTGTCCTCTGTGAAACAGGCACGTGGTTTGCTGGGAGAGCAGGTAGGGAAGGAGGCTTGGTTGCTTCTGAGTATTGTTTGATTTGCTTGAAGCACTGGAACACAGGGCTTTCACTGGAGATAATAACAAGCTCCCAGCCTTTTCAGAGCACAGCTCCCGTCTGTGCCAGCAGTGCACTTACGATTGCTGGGCTGGGCACGGACTGTACAGACATTTATTTCTTTGGGGGAAATAAATAATTTGCTGAGCCATTAGAATATCGCTGCTGGCTGCCTGCCTGAGCGGGCTCAGCTACGTGGGTTGGTCTGGGCTCTGCCAGCGACCTCGGCGTGGTTCTTTCTCAAGCCCCTACCGTCAACCCAAAAGAAGGAACCTCTTTGGGACTTGATGGTTAAAAGTCACTTTAGATGCTGTGGGCAAAATGGTAGGTTGGAGGGTTATGGCACATGGATCCCAGTTTGCTGAGGTGCTGAGCAGAGGGGATCAGCAGGGAAAACGCTTGATTCCCTCTGCAAATCCCTGGCCCCGCACAGAAAACTCAGGGCACCCTAGAAATGGGTGAAACACTCCCGTAGTAGCCAGGGTTGAGTTTTGTGTTGCTAAAACAAACTTTGTGACATCTGGCTGAAGTGCCGTGTTGTAAGCAGAGGGCCCATGCTATTCGTGATCAAAGCTCATGCATTTCATGCCTTTGTCACAGCAGAAATATCGAATTTCATGGGTTTATTGCAGCTTCCTGGAAAAACAAAAATCATTCCAAACCCAGACAGATTATGCAGAGACTTCCAGATAATTATTAGAGTAGATTATAGCAATGAACTCGGATGAATATGGATCAGTGCTGCAGAGAGTGCTTAAAGCACTGAAAAACATCGTAGTCTCTGTCACGGAAGGAGCCCACCTCTCGTGACTAGAGACACACGAGCTGCTGGCAGCCCAGCTCCCAACACTGGCTTGGTCTCAGCCATCCGCGGTGCCATCACCTCCTTGTCCCTGCTGTTTGCCACCGAAGCACACCCACCGCATTGCTTGTAGCATCCGCGCACATTTGCAGGACTTGCAATCCGAGTGTGTCTCAAGGATACCCTCACGTGCAGAAAACAGATGATCTGGTTCTCATCATCGTTCCTGGCTGTGCTCTGCGCTGATTTGCAAGCCATGGTCGAAGCCACTCCGGGCTGCTCTACGGCGCCCGGCTGCGATGGGGGTGGGAGGACGCGGGGTGAGCTGCATGCCCGCCCGGCGATCACCGGCGAAGCAGTGACAAAGGAAAGGCAGATCTCGCTGGGTTTGGTTCATCAGCACAGCTTTAGGTGTAATCGGGAAGCCTCTGCATCGTGTAATCGCCCACTTCAACCTCAAAGCTGCGTTCACCTTAATTGCAATTAAAGCAGTGCTTCTGAGGGGCAAAATCAGCTGGGAAAAAAGGTTTCTTTTCTGATGTGGCTCAGCTATAGAGCTCCAGGGTCCTGAAAGAGACGACTGTACCAGCCTCCCTGTCCTGCTCTCCAGATTAGGATTTTTATTTCATATCTGACCTTGATATTTCTTTAGCTTCCAACGTGGCTTGGCGCTGGGTTAGCTGGGATAAAACCTCCCAGTCCTGCATTTTCTTTTTGCCTGTGTCATCCAGACAACTGCCAAACTAACAAGGTTATCTGTCTTTCTGTCCTTCTCTTTCTAATAAGGGAACTGCTGCAAGGTTGGTTTTTTTCCCCATGGCCTATCAGTGCTAGTTAAAATGCCATTAAATGAAGCTTCTCCCCTTATGCCCCTCAAATTCTGGGGTCCTGAGCAGACGCTCTGTGATCTTTCAGGATCTTTCAGGTCCTTCCTCTCATTTGCTGGTGATATTTTTAGGGGGGTCCCATCATTTAGTGACTTTTCGCCCCTCTTCCCTCTCTCCTTTGGGCTAAAAGACTCTCAGTTGCATCTTGTCCAGACCCACAAAACAGACATACAGACACTTCACCCGGACACTCATAACCTCGCTAATTCCTGCTAATGATGAAGTGATCTTCTCCAAATGAAGAGAATTTTCCAAATCAGAACCTGAATGAACAAGCACTGTAAAAAGGCGAGGATAAACCATCACAAAGGCACTTAGTTTGGATTCAATTATTTATGGTGATACTTTGTAATTAACTGGGAAGTGTTCTGTAGCATATTTTGTAAAATTAATGAAGTTTTAGTACTGGAATACCTCACCGCCGCTCAGTGGCATTAAATCTTTGCTGAGTGCAGTAGGGAAGACTCTGCATTTTAAATGCGGATTATAAAATGCGGAGATTAACAAAGTGCAGGCTCTTCTGTGCTCTATCAGAAGACAGCTCTAGCAATAACAGCATTACCTTGCTGTCTGCTATTTCCCTAATATTCCACCCATAAACACACCCACACTGGAATCTCCCAAAGCTTTGTAATGCTCTTCGCCACCTTTTATGGCCGAGATGTCTTTATGGAGCCCGCGATGTTGCCGTCAGGTCTGGGTAGATGATAAGACCCATTAAAATGCCTGAATTTCAGAGCGTGTGGGTTGTCTCAGTGGTGTAAGGTCATCTCCAGAACCCACCTGGCTCTCTTGAAATCCAAGTCGCTGCTTCAATAATGCGATCATTTTGAGATCTGGTGGGTCAGGGCCACGCAGCCTTGCTGTCCCACCAGCCCTTCTCTGGAGCCTCCTGCCAGTGAGGCAGCACCACAGTCTTCCTTGGGTTCTTTGTACCTCCTTTGTCTTCATCAGACCTGTGGGAAAGACCAGCTAATGCTGCTGTCTCAAAGAACTTTTTTTCCCCTCTCTTCCTGAGCATTGGTTTTTCTAGTTGTACTTAACTTTGGGAGAGGAGGACAGAGGCATGAAGCAGGTGATGTCTTCTGCTCCCATGCTCTTTGGCCATTAAACTTCTGTAAATCATCCTGGACAGCCACAAGCACCTTCGAGCATAAGCCCCTCACACATATTTTTGAGACTGCACTCCACTCCTTATGTTGTGTCAGAACGATGCAGTTTATCCAAAAGCAAGTGTATGTTTTCTACATCTCCATGGCGTGGCCCAAGGACAGTGTGTGATTAAGAAAGGGACCAGTGGCCAAAGGGCTGATGCCAGACAGAGCTCCATGGTGGAGCTGGTGCCAGTGTTCCTTCCCTGAAGCCCCAGCAAGAGCGCAAGTGAAGCCACAGGCTGGAATTTATGTCTTAGCCCTTGTTGAAATTCGGAAAGAACTAAGAATGTCCCAGGCTCTTGCTCTCCAGTGCCTTCTGCTTGGTTCATCTCTGCACACATGTCCCTCGGTGCAGAACACTTCATGGTTGGCGTTACAGAACCTCGGCGCGGCTGACCGTGGGTGTGCAGGTGCAAATTGGTCTCCTCTCCAAAGTTACTAGTGATAGGACAAGAGGAAATCACAGAATCACAGAATGTCAGGGGTTGGAAGGGACCTCAAAAGATCATCCAGTCCAACCCCCTGGCCAGAGCAGGATCACCTACAGTAGGTCACGCAGCTACGCGTCCAGAGGCTCAAGTTGCACCAGAGGAGGTTTTGACTGGATATTAGGAAAAAATTCTATTCTGAAAGAGTGGTGAAGCACTGGAACAGGCTGCCCGGAGAAGTGATGGAGACACCATCCCTGGGGGTGTTGAAAAACCGTGTCAACGTGGCACTTCAGGGCATGGTTTAGTGGTCATGGTGGTGTTGGATTGATGGTTGGACTTGATGATCTTAGAGGTCTTCTCCAACCTTACTGATTCTGTAATTGTAGAATGGTTCTATATTCTATAATCGTATTATATTCTATAATCATAGAATGAATTTCAGCTCCCCCCGGGCGACCTCCCGGCCGTTTCGTGCCCGTCTCACCCTCTGCCTCTTGTTTGCCTTACAGCATGCTGCCAAGGGACAAGGCACTCTACCTCACCTAAAACTCCACGTCTCTAGTCGAGGGGGCTCGGACAAAGGACACTTGAGAGGGTCGATCTTACCGACTACCCGGAGAGGCACCGAGCAAGTCGTACGGACGGGAGAGCTACCGCTGTACCTCGTCGCTGGCTTCGTTTCCAGGCTCTAAGAGCAGTTTTCTCTTATTATTTTTTTTTTGGACTCTAAAAAGTCTACTTTCCGTGGAAGCCCAAAAACCTCATAAAAAATCATGAAGAACAAAAAAAGAAAAAAATGAAATAAAAAATAATAAAAGAAATAAACACAAAACCAACAAAAAAAATAAACTAAGGACACCGTTTTTCTGCTTGCCATCTGCTTAGCTACAGATTATTTTCCTAGTGAACTGCTTTTAGACGCAGCATAGGCCCAGGTCTGGTGTCCTACAGCATTAGGCCAGCTCAGTAGGAGGATGCACTCTTTTGACTTGCTAACAGCACTAAACTTTGTGCAAAAAAATGTGAAGTTTGTGTGAATATTGTACATGCAAAGGCCTTGGATGTCTGGCGAAAAAAAGAAACAAAACCCTAAATAAAAACTATTGGTAGGTAGGTGGGGGAGAGAGAGCGGAAGGCGAAATGCGAGAGGAAAAATTTGGAGATCATGAAATTATAATTTGTTGGATAGTTGTAAGTAGTTTACTAAGTGTTTTAGAGCTGTGCTAAAGACATCTTTAAGATTTTTTTGTGAAAAAAAAATTAGTAGTTTACTTTATAGTAAAAGCATTTTATATTAATTGTAGCACATTTTTTAGTTATACATAGAAGGGAGATGTGTATAAAAAAAAAACAACAAAAAAAGCCTGCCAAACTTGTTTCTATTATTTGTACAGCAAGAAATGGACAATTTATATCCATGTTGAATGGCATTATTATATTTTTTTCTGCCATATGTCCATCTATTTAAAAATTGCTGACAATGATTTTTGTCTATTTATGAAAAATTAGAGAGCATAATTACAGTTTCTCATAAGGTGCATTTTTGGGGGTTTTTTTTTATTTTTTATTTTGTTTGAGGGTGCTGCTTTCGCAACACCTGGCACATTCGGTTCACAATGCTTATCTTACCTTTCTTTATAATAAAACATATGAAAAGTAGAACTGAACCAGTCTCTCCTTATTCTGGGGGCACACCCTGGAAATGTCCTGGCCAGAGAGGTCCTTGCCTTCTCCTTGTCCTCCTCAGCTTTCCCATCTCTCATTCCTCTCCCATCACATTCTCACTTACTTTCTTTCTCCTCCCTTGCTCTGAGCCAATTAATTAAATATATATACTGAATTAAATATACCTGCGACCACTCCCAGTGATGAAAGCACTAGCAGATGCCCACAAGAGCCCCATTTCCAACTTTTCCTAGGAGGCACAGCTTAGAAGGACACCAAAAGGATGGAGAATTCTGATGGCGTAAGGATGGAATTGGCGCTCCCATCCTTCCCTAGCAAGAATGGAAAACTCAGATGGTGTAAAACAATAAAGCAATGTGAAATTTCACGCCCTGAGCCGCCTGCCTGGAGGAAACCTGTTAATTAATGTACCATTTTAAGCCCATTTGTAGGTGCAGCTTCATCGTGGGAGTCTCACCACGTCGTGCCACTGGCACACAAGTCACTGTCCTTTAGCTAAGGGATAATTTCTCCGTGTGCATGTGAGAGGGAAGACATGCAGCTGGGCCATGGCCGTGTTACTCGTGCAGTTTGGGGCATTGGGTCTTGCTCAGGTCTGAATGTCATGGTTAAGATCCTCTTTTCCCCCACTGCTACCCATCTACAGTGAAAGCAGCCTTAATTTATCATAGAATCGCAGAACGGTTTGGGTTGGAAGGGACGTTAAAGGTCATCTCGTTCCAAGGGCAGGGACACCTCCCACCAGACCAGGTTGGTCAAAGTCCCGTCCAACCTGGCCTTGAATGCCTCCGGAGAGGAGGCTTCCATATTTTCTCTGGAAGTTCTCCAAAGACTTGAAATATTTATGTTCTCCAGTGACTTGAAATAATTTTTCTAAGCTTTTTTTCAGACCATTTTAATAAACCATGGAAGAGCTCACTCTTCAGAGTGAGCATCACATTAAGTCCTGTCGCAGGAAGTCCCCATCAGAATGCGAGAGCCCCAGCTCTTGGTGGCCAGGGCAAGGAGCATGTGGTGGGAGTTGTCCCACACACCCTGAGGGCACATCCAAGCAAGAACCATCCCCAAAATCCCACCCAAGAGCTGCCGGCTCTGGATGGAGCGATGAAGACCTTCTGAGGTGTTTCGGGCATGGTGGGTTTGGACCAAGCAGTCCCTAGCAGACCACCCTGGATGCTGGGAGAGGTGGAGGTAACAGCGCCATGGCAAGGGGCAGCAAGTCCCTGGAGCTACAGGACCCGGCAGAAATTCCAGGCGGGTCACAAGCAATTCCTGCAAACAGCCTGACGTAAAAACCTACGTTCCCCTCCGCTTCTGAGGCCATCACCATGGTGTTGCAAGGTGATGGAGCATCAGTCCTCTCGGCTGAGAACATTTTCTTTTTCAGCATGAGAGACACGGAATCAAGATGTACCTCTGCAACTCAGCTTCATGAGAGCACTTGCACTTCTAACACCAAGCTTCCTGTTCTCTACAAGTATAAAGAGAAATTATGCCCATTCCTTGTCCCATTGACCACGGGGACTCTGTATTTTAGTCCAGTATTAACACAGCAAAACCTCACCAGCACAGCCCAACAGCCATGGAGATGGGCAAGCGAGGAGAGCTGGTGGATAAAGTTAGAAAAATGAGAATCTTCCTTGCTGGTGGCCAGTGTGAGGCCATGAACCTCCCCTTTTATGTCTAATCTTGAGCCATTTGAAAATAAAGGTGCATAATAAAACTTCCTGAGGAGCAGCACTCGCTATAACAACTCAGCTCAGCTTGGCCAGCTGGTGGTGGACAGATAGTTACGGTGCAATATCAGAGCCAGGAGATTTCTTCCAAGTATGCAATTATTAAAACGAAGAGGAGAGGAAACAGGACGTTAGGATGAAAACCTACCTTGAGTTATCACAGCTAGGGGATAGGACTTATTCCAGGGAGAGTTTCTGAAATTTTAGATTTTTGTGTGTGTGCAGCATGTAAGTGGCCTTGAGACTCCGAGATCACAGGGAAGCCGTTTCCAGCCCTGCGAGGAAAACTGGATGGGGTCTGCACTGGATGCATCACGGTCCCTCTGCTTTGCCCTGTCTGAAGGAAGGTGCCCATCCAGTGATGCCCAACAGCCCCGTGAGCCAGCACCCCAGCAATCCCGGGCTTTTAACGACTTTCCAACCAACTGCCAATGTTGCCTGGTGATGGCAACAGGCTGTGGCTGCCATGGGGCAGCCGTGGAGGGCACCCACCCGGTGGATGCAAACGGCCTGTGCCTGCCATGGGGCAGCCGTGGAGGACACCGACCTCCAGCCGTGGTGATGCCAGAGCTGCCCTCGGGGATGCAGGGCAGTTGGCTGTTATAGAGCTGAGGGCATTAACGAGACCTTCCAGACCACTTTAATCCCTACTGATCTCTAAATTTGCATGATGGCAGCTGTGCTTTAAGGGTGTTCCAGCTATCAGCTGTTTGTGGTGGAACCTGGAGCTGCTCCAGAGAAGGAACCAGGAGCTGAGCCTCCCACCTACCATAGGGGCTGGCTCTACCACCAGGTTCAGCCCCAGCACCTGGGGGCAACAGGCATGGCTGGGTGAGCCTCTCCTTGACCCAAACGTTTGCTCCGTTATTAACATCAGTAGCAAATGTGGTGGATGGGTCTCAAGGAGCCACCCAGTTGCCCCCTGCACCTCAGTGTGGGGTCAGCTCTCCCTAAACCCTCCCTGTGTGCCTAACCTCCCTTTAAAAACCTTTAAATTCTAGGCAGATAACCTAAATCTCTCTCCCTACAAAGCAAATCCCTTGCTTTTGAGCATAGGGAAGAATTTATTGCTTTCCTTGTTGCAGTAATTTTTTCCATATTTGAGGAAGGATATGGGCTCCCCACACACCCCTCCTCTCCTACCCGCTGAGGTGTTGCCATTGCAGAGATCGTGCTCTGGGGCAGGACGAGCTGTGGTGCCTCCACTTTTCGTCAAGAAGCACGAGCTGGACCCTCAAAAGGCTCTAAAACATCTTTTGAGGCAGGGATCTGGGCAGAGGTCGGGGAGGCAGGACCCCGGCAGGTCCTCACAGTCATCAGGACTAAGGATGGAGAAGAGGCATGGGCAGGGTGAGCCCTGGCTAATTGACTTTGGCTTATGAAGACATAATTAGCAGCACTGTAGGGTGTAATGGAGAGTTTAACAAATCTCATCAGCGGGATCTTGGCGGTGTTAACCCTTTGAGGGCAAGGACTCAGCAGTCCTGGTTGGGATGGGATGAAATGCCTCCAGACGGCAATGCCCGGCTCACACTGAAACAGGGATACCCACCGTCTCGCCCCCACCCCGGGGTGTCCTGCGGGCTGGTGGTGTGGGGAAAGAGCCTGGCCTTGGCCAGTGATTAGGTCTGAAGCAACTCTGCTGTGGGTTCCTTCCATGGGTAGAGTCATCCCAGTGATGGACTGCTCCAGCATGGGCTTCTCTTGGAGTCACAGCATGATTTAGGTGCAGTCCTCTGCTCCAGCGTGGGGTCCTCCACAGGCTGCAGGTGGACATCGGCTCCACCATGAAACCCCATGAGCTGGAGGGACAGCCTACCTCACCGTGCTCTTCACCATGGGCTGCAGGGGAATCCCTGCCCCACCGCCTGGAGCATACCCTGCTCCCTCTTCTTCACTGACCTTGGTGCCTGCAGAGTTGTTCCTCTCACGTCCCACTCATCCATTACAGCTTGCCCAGCAGGTTTTTCTCATCCTAAATATGTTATTCCCAGAGGCACTACCACTGTCACCTTGGCCGGTCCAATTTGGAGCCAGGGGAGCTTCTAGAAGCTTCTCACAGGAGCCACCTTGTAGCCCCTTCCCCAGCACCAAAACCCCACCAGACACAAAGGGCCATGGCCACTAACAGCCTAGCGGCGCTATTCGACTTTGTTCCGAGTTATTATTACTAAGATGATGGAATGGAAGGGAAAACAGTCCTGACAAGCAACATTGAAAACTTCACGCAAGAAGGCTCAAAGGAAAGGACTTCATTTGACAAATCCCAGGACCCTGACAACAGCAGCATGTGCTAGGAGCAGAAGGCTTGTGCCAGCCCCGGTGAGGTGCTGGTCCTCCGCCGAGGGCAGCTTTGCACCATGGCAAGTGTCCCCATTCCCCAAAGGTCCCACCAGGGTTAGGGCTGCTGTGCGGTGCCGGTGGTGAGAGCAGCTGTCCTCCCTGTGCTCCTGCTGGAAGACGAGCGGTCAGACCCCGAGCGAGTCCATGGTGAAGGAAGCATGCAATGACTTGGGGACCAAGCTCCTGGGACAGCCCCCATGTACCGTGCTGGGACCCCCAAGCTCAGGCTCAGCAGCACCATGCAACCAGGCAAAGAGGTTGTATGTCAGACCCTGCGCTGGTTGCTCAGCACCTCCAGCTCATTTCCCCAGACGTACCTGTGCTTTGCAAAGGTTGTGGCCACCACCAGACACTTCCACATGGGTCATGACCCAGCCCATTGGCACAGGCAGAGGGGCAAGTGGCTGAGGTAGTTGAGGTACGAGCCCCACCAGGCAGGACCTGCTGCGCTTCGCCTGCCCTCTGCCCACCGCTGTCACCAGGTCACGGAAAGGCTCTGCCTGACAAGCAAACATGATGCAGCTTTGTCATCTTTGTAAGGACAGAAGGGGCAAAAAAAGATGATGAACTACAGTTCGGTTTGCTTTCCGCTTCGTATGCTCCACCTTGCAGCAGGTCCAAAATATTGAGCATCACCTTAGCAGCTAATCACACAGTGCAGAGAGCAGGCAAAGTACTCACTCCAATACACAAGGAGTGTGAAATTATCAGTTTGAACAATGATTTTTGAAGAAGAGATGAGAGGAATAACAATTCTTCTGGATGAATTACTGTGCTGGCCAGAAGGGCAATTTAGAGTCAGCTCTGAGGTCAGGTGTTTTGTCACTGTATCCTCAACTCTTCTTGACTTTCCACTACGATTTGAGAAATCAGCATAATACCTGGCACAGTAAT